AAATACTAATACACTTGCTCTGCTTTCCTATAAACCGCAATCGTAATGATGCATTTTTTTTTTTTTTTTTTTTTTTTTTTTTTTTTTTAAATAAAAGATTATGTCGAAATGCTGGTCTTCTTGTGGAAGCAGAAAAGTCCGAAGCCAGCTTCAGCGTCAGTGACCGACGACGCCTCATGATGTGATACAGGAAGCTGCCAACACCGGGATATATAATTCTTAATCAATTGGATTCCTGTTTTCCAGAAACCGCCTCTTTCTTTTGATAATGACTTTTTACGTTATCTTGCTGTTACGCACGCAATCTCTTCTCACTGTTTGTTTTCAACTAGCTTCCAGCATTCAAGGACCCCCAGCATATTTTATCGACCAAGTAGTTCTTATTTCTGCTCATTATTTATAATATGATTATTTCTTATTTTGTGCGAATTTCGCGATTTTAAGCTCGAATCAGAAGGAACATCGTGGATAAGATGCTGAAATTTGATAGTCCATCCTGATTTCGGTTCAAGATGAAAAGGTGGATAAAATGGCTGTATAGGATTTTCTTGATTTTATTCTTGTAAAATATGAATACAAGCTAGTTTCCCTTAGGAAAACCTTCACGTATAGCATCCTTCGTAAAGCAGATAAATCTCACATGTTTTCGCATCGCATGCTTAAAGATACGTAAAAAATTAATTAATCAATAAAGCGTAAAGGGATACCTTTTAAAAAATGTGATGTTTTCCAGTTATGGAACTATGAAAACTGTTTTTTTTTCTAGATTTGAAATCAGTTCCATAACCGCAAATGCAAATTTTATGTTTTAATTTTAAGTTTTAAGCTTTATTCTGCAATTTTTCCATTTACTGCTTATTTTTTTTAAAAGTGTCGTATGCACTCACCAAAGATACACAATTTATAGTGGAGCAGTTAAATAGCGAGGCTTTCGAGTAATGCGTGCATCATATGTTCCCTGACAGTTGGAAATGCATTTTAGATAATAGCAATTAGCCATTGGGTGCAAAAAATTATATTGCAGTTAATAATCATACAATATATAATCTTGATTTAATTGATCACCACACCAATGTTCGAGCGGCTAAAGCCATAAAGCATTATTTCATGCTATTCAGAATTTGTGAAATTTAAGTAATCCATTCTTCAAGGTCTAAATATTATGTTATACAAAGTGTTCGTAAAGGAGGTTACAGAATTTATTACTTAAAGATCAAATCTGGGAGCAACTACAAAGCAGGAAGTTCTTGTTTTGGAGATTTCTGGTTCCATATTTGTTAAAACATCGCTCGTTATTAAATTTCTAGTTGGATAAATAAGAATATTAATTGCGCAGATCTCTGAGAATTTGACATTTAAAGGCATGGAAATTTTTTATTTAAATTCATAAAGTATATTTAATATTTAATAATTAGAATTTTTGTTCTAAAGGGATTATTCAGAAAATTAGATTTTATAGTTTCAGAATCATTCGAAAGTTGAAACTATATAGCTCTTATAAAATTCAATCTTTCATTTAGAGAAACTATTTAACTGGAAGCGCATATTTAGAATTACATACATGAATTTTAATTTCATTAAATTATGCACTTTTAAATTCACATAATAGATGTGTCGACTGTTTTAAAAAATAAGCGTATAAAATAAATGCATAAAGATTGCAATCAGACAATTTTTAAGGTCAATGATTTGTTTTTTTTCAGTGGTCGTCATTAAATATATAGATATATATAAAAGGGAGATAAAATTTCGTAAGTATGATTAGCGACCATGTAACAGAAATATATGTAACAAAATATTTCTCGTGTAATACACAAACTTGTTCAAAATAAATCTTACTTGCTAAACGCAGCGTACCATAGCTGAACTTAAAAGTGGAAGGAAAATAATTTAAGTAAACAATGTAATATTTCTTCTTTATTCTGTGCAATGAATTTATCCTGTGTAATTCTGTGCAACGGATTTATTCTGTGTAATTCTGTGCAATGAATTATTATATACTTACTTCTAATCCTTTACACTCCTCTGTTAACTTGCGAATTCGAACAATGAATCAACGTAAGAAAGTGCGCCACTGTATTAAATTTTAATTTGCAATTTTAACTTAAATTCATTACTAACCAAAAGGAAAAATTAAAAAAAAAAAAAAAAAAAAGGATAGGTTTATCACGGACTCTAAAACGAAACGTTTATATGACTACCTTCATAATTATTATAGTATGACTTTTCTTGGCTTGTAAGATCCTCCAATAAAATACACATATTCTATAAAGTAGCTCAGTGTGGCTTTGCCTTATTTCTAATAAATTAACTATAATCAGGAAAGAAAAGGAATACCTATTGCATGCATCTTCGATTAAATTTATTGGAAAATATGCGGATACAATACAACATGGTATAGTTACAATAGTTAGAGATTAATAAAATATTGAGATAGGTAGAACTATAAAATTTTGTTTTCCTGTTTTCTAACTTCGATTGCTACACAAATGGATCGCTGAATATTGGTAGTTCGACCTGGCTTGGGTTCGATCCCAGGCGAACGGACTGGCTGCATGTTTCGTTTTCGTAGTTTTTCTCATACGTAACGTGAATGCGAGATAGTTCCCTTAAAAAGGCCTCCACGAAGGTATCTCTCCTCTTAGGCAGATAGCCCTCGTGGCTTTGCTATATTCAATAACCTAACCTTATTTCTACTGCTTAACGTCGCACTGATTTTTATCTTTCTTCGCCAGGTGGTACAATAATTTTGTTTCCTCCACTGCACCATCTTGTTAAGATAATGCAGAGTTCAATTTGAAGAATAGTTGTGTACGGATTTTTTTCAGGTGTAGAGTTATTAGGATTTTTTTTAGAGGCAGAAAAGATGAAAAATAGCAAACGCCTTCGCCGGGTATCGAACCACGGACCTCTGGAATACCGGCCCAGCGTGCTACCACGAAGGCACGCTAGGGAAGTGGGAGAAATACCTTATACAATTATCGCCATCCATATATGACTGTCTATTCAATATGTCTATTCTTCATACGAATACAGGCAGATCTCGCTTTACGAAAGTTCGCTTCACTAAAGACTTGCACTGTAACCTTTTTCGGTTCGCAAAAGATGAAGATTTTTACTTTTACGGAAAATTGCGAAAATTGAAAATATCTTTTAAGCGTTAATTTTATGCACTGATCACATAGAAAAGAACACATAGGCTTATCAATGTCAAATGTGCCAATTATGAATTAATCTTATTTTAGGCCTTTCACATTAGCCAAAGTAAACCTCGGCTTTAGACGCTACTTCTACAGAGAAACGTTATCTTTTAGGCCATGTGTTCCGGCGGAAACAGACAACAATACGATCTGACAGATATAATGATGACCTTCTCCTACACATGACTTGATTTACTCAAGGGCAAGAGAAAACGAGAATAAAAAAGTAAAATATATAATTGTTTTGTTTAAATAATTAAAAGAAAATATTAAATTATCAGATTATTTCATGAAATACTTTATATATTTCGCATCAGTGATATTTGTTTTGTTGGAAAAAACTACAGGTGAGGAGAGGCATCCGCTAGAAGTTTGACCCAAGCCTCTATTTATAAATCATATCCTGCTGCTATATCCTAATCTTCTGCATCTCGCAATACCTCATCTTCTAGAGTTTTCTCTGATTCTTTCATCTCTTTGGATATTGAAACTACATTACTAACGTTATTCTTACCTTTTTCTTTAGTGCATTTATCATAACATTCTTGGTTTTAGTATTACTTTTGATTTTATGAATCGGATGACACATTTTTTAAAGGCTTGGAAGCGTTAAAACATTTTTCACTATTAATTAATAGTAACTGCTTCTTCCATTTAAGCTATTTTGTTCAATGAAAAGTTTCAATAGAACACTCTTCTCCAATAAAGCAGTTGAAACTTATTATTTAACTTATATAAACTTACAACAAGAAAGCAACGCATGAAAATGAGATCTACGAAGATACTTTTGCTATTTCAAGCTAACTATGGAATATACAAGGTGTTTATAAATGATGGAAGTATCTTTCAAAGACGTATTTTGGAAAGTAGTGAAGAACTACCAAAATCATAACCCCTGGAAGAAAATATAAGTAATATCTTTACGTTATTTAATGCCATGCCTTTTTATTTAATAAATAATACTAATGATGTGAAAAGTATGGACCTAATGCACTGGGCGCTCTTGGAAGAAGTGACAGGAGTTTAATGCAGCCGCCTTAAAGAACCTCTATTTAAATCCATGCGATTTTCATTCGGATAGCTTAAAGATCGTGTTCATACTCAACTTTTGCTGCCTCACGTTTATGTAGTACTCTGCAGATGATATGTCGTATGTCGAACCACGTATAAACCATATGCCAAAGTACCACGTGGCTCCAATACTTAAAAAAATAAATAAATAAATAAATAAATAAATAAATAAAGCTTTTAGATTTTACTTTATGCCCAAAGGGGCCTTTTTTTTTAAGTTTTGTGTGTTACCTTTATTTATTAAATATCATGTTCTTCGCACTTAAACTATGAAGTTCAATTCAACAGCAATATTGCAAAATAATTTTAAAATAAGCATATCTTTAGAATTTCCGATACACAGCCTCGCGGCTCCGGACATTCCTCACGTTGAAATCGTAGAGTTTGTTAATCAAAAATTCGTTAAAGTGTTACAAAATATGAAATCGGTAATAAAACAAATTCCAAATTAGGGCTTCCAGATGCCCATATTCGCTGGAGGATTACGTTATTCAAAATTTGGTGGCTCTCGGTAACATTTTTTTTACCACAATGCGAGAAACATACATACATACATTTATGCAGATTTTTCATTATTTAATTACTTAAAATATAATACAGGGCTGTAACATTTGAAGGCAACAATTGGAAAATTGAATCAACGCAGAAAGTGAATCGACTCAAAATGCCAAAACCAAATTAATAGCCCTTCTGGGCTAACGCACATTGGACTTAAAAAAAAAAAAAAAAAAAAAAAAAAAAAAAAAAAAAAAATCATATTTTGTTTTTCAAATGGCATGAATACGATTAGGATTTCTGTCTAATGTTCATATAGTGAGTTACTGAAAATATTCACATCCTACATAGGTCGTTTTAAAAATACCCTAATCAGCGTATATTTTACCGGTGAATTTAACTCTCGTCAAATCACCGATATTCAGTGGAGGAAACGCCCCCTCATTTACAAATACAATTGCTTATTACTGCTGCTACATTCACTTCAACGCTGTTCTTCATACCCATTTCCATGGCTGACGAATTTCATCGGAATAGTTACATGACTACATAGCTCAACTGTTATCATTTTTTAAGGCTCTACTTACACTGTAAAAAACACACTAAAAACAAGTCACATCAATTATTAAGGCATAAGAATCTCTATATTTGCATGTGGGATGAACATTCTTCATAAATGCGTGTGAATGTTTAGCAACACCTGGCTAGAAACTCTCTCTCTTAAAAATTCCGTGTCCTATAAAAAGGTGAGCAAACGTATGATAGTTTAACTACCTGAAACTCTGGACTTACTATTCCAAATAAAGCGAATCATCCATCTACTAAATGAATCATATATTGAAGCAGATGTCGTGCAATTAAGATTTCGCTTTTATTTCTCTAGTTAATGAATTATATTTATCTCGTAATTATGTTTACTTCAAAAATATTCATAATCACACTCTAAATAGGACTTGCTTTATAACGTAGCTATTAACTTGCTAAAATTCAAAAATTATAACTATGATAAAATCGGGAAATTATATGCGACACTATTTTGTAAGCTCTTATTGATGATGCAATTCACTTTCATCCCTAAATATTTTTATTTCCTCTCATTAAATCAGCATTTAAATACACATATATTTCTTTAACATGAAGCGAAGCTGACGACACGCCTTCCCGAATTCTTTAGCTTACTTCCTCTGAGAATAACAAAACGAAGAGAAACTCTGTCGCAGCGTGTACGAAAACGATTTTCTTGCGCGAAAGAAAAGGTAAAGAAGGGAGAAGTAAGTTTTCTTATGAAAAAGGCAAAGTTTGCAGAGCGGTCAATACTTGTAACCAACCTTGTGAGCTCGATTTGGAACAATGCCAGAATACGCCCGTTCGCTACTGGAATACGATTGATTCACACACGCACACCAAATGCTTCGGAGATTGTATTTAATTAGCTTCAATTTTCCTAAAATCTGAGTTGTAAGTGGCGGAAATAAACGACGCAAATGAATCTCTTCGAGTCTAGAAATAAAAAAATAAAATAAAATAAGAAGAAAGGAGGCGTCACTTCTAGTCTGTCCATCATTTTAGAGTTGCCGTTGGCCGTCGTATCCGATCCGTGTCGTCCTCCTACTCAACAATTTTTCTTTTTTCTTTGCCACGAACTACTCTCCACTGGCATTCACATATAAAGCAAAATATTCATACACTAAGGAAGCTCTTGTTCTAAGTATTAACCAACAGTGATAATCTTCCAGTTCACCCTAGTTCCATCTAGCTGATTATTATATATATACGCACTATAAACAGTAGAAATATGCAAGAAATAATTTGAAATATGAAAAGAAATCAATTTTTTTCTTTTTTCTTTGACACGAACTACTCTTCCGTGACATTCACATATAAAACAAAATATTAATGCACTAAGGAAGCTCTTGTTCTGAAAGTCAACCAACAGCGATAATCTTCCAGTTCACACTAGTCTATCTAGCTGATTATTATATAATCATCCTATATTTATTAGCCATATAAAAGTTACCATTCGTAATCATAGCATGATCTTTTAAGTTGAATATGACAAAGCGGAGGACGACTTATCTGCCAGAGCTTTCCAATCTGTCTTGGTTCGGCGTTTCCTTTCAAGGATTTTTTTTGCTCAGCTTTAGGGCCGGGACAAGGGTGAGGAGCACTGGCCTCATGTGAATAGCTGGAAAGGGAGCCAAATTAGGAGGACAGATTTTAGAAACACATTAAAAAAAAATACTATGATAGTTAGCTTTCAATTCTGAAATGTATCGAGAAACACAGTTTTAAAATAGCAAATTTAAATCGATAAAAATGGCACTGTACAAACCTCCTATTTCCTTAGAAAGTCCTCCATGAAGAAATCCCTTTCCTTCGGTAAATAGTCCTCGTACGTTTGCCATACTGAATTAAACAAACAAACATAATAGAAGGATTATCTCTTTCTTTATGGAAAGTAAGGAAAAATATTCTTAAGAAATGTGAAAATTTAGCTTTAAAGATGGTTATATCAATAAAATATTACAATAAATTGAAAAGAAAGGTTAATAAACTAGACTGCCAAAAATCAGTTGATAAATGAATCAAATTTTTAGAAAAATATTTTTTTATGGTAGAAATATAAGATATTATATATGTTTTAATCTCACAACTAAAATGAAGATATCAAAAATTATACCAGAAAGCTTATTCCTATTCCTAGTTTCTATAACACGTAAAATACTAATGTCACTGGACTTGGGTATTTTAAAAGTTAGGTTAGGAAGAGTTTGGCAAATGTTAGTTTAGGAAGAGTTTACAGAAGAACTATATTACTAAGGATAGGGATGCTTAGGTTTTTTAAAAAGGACCAGCTTCTGACTTAGCATTTAAACGTCTAAATGATGAAAATGCTTCAGATATTCCATCAGATATATATCTAGTTTTAGAAACTAAGCTATTTCAATAGTTCTAGTCTCTAAACTAAAATCAAATGTTTTATAGATTATTCAGGAATGCAAAATCAGATATGAATTTAGAACGGTGTTCAGATTAACGCTGCCAGTTACTGCTATTAGGGTGAAAGAAGCTGGAGATAAACTTGGAATAAAAAAAATTGCAAAATTTCTTTTTGGCCTAAAATCTTTCAAGTATCACTATTTTCTCTATAGAACATAAATTAAACAATTAAGTAACTATAATTTTGAAAGTACCACTGTCAATTTTACTTCATTGGAAGCATGATAAATTAAACTACAAAAAAAGCTTGATTATTAATGCAATACTTTTTATATGGTTATCTTGGTGTTATTAGCTATTTATCAAAGGTTCCTTTTAAAGTTTTCATTCAAGAATTATAAATTATTCCACTCATTAGTTTTCTGAATACATTAAATTATGATTAAAAATATTTTATATAAGTTTGATTTATTATAATTAACTTTGTTGAACATATAAATATAGATACAGTTAATTTGATTGTATATGTGACGCGTATTTACCTCTTTGCCTCAGGTGAAAAAATATTTAGGCAAGGTTCCGCTCAGCGGTGATGTGACACTTGTGCACATAGCAGCTCCACACAAGTGGCATTTGCGCACATCATTCCTGAGGGAACATGAAAATTTCCAACTTGTGCAACCAGTTATGGACAACCGGTGACACTTCCGTACAATTTGCCAGAAACAATCAATAAGCCTTATCATATACTGACATGATTTTTTTTAAGTATTGTCCATTCCTGCTCTGACGGTTGCTCTGGGTGTTTCTTGTGTATTATTATTCCCCTCTACCCCGAGTTCTTTTTAGAATATTTACTAAAGTGAATTTTAGCTAAAGGCAAACCACGAGCAATTTAGACCACTGTCAGTATCGGCAGTTTCGTGTTAAATCAAATTCTCAAGCGACAACATAAAGATGAATTTAAAGTAAAACTGAAAGCCACGAAAGTTGATGACGACGCAGAATGAAGTAGTTTTGAAAGTTGCAGAACATATTTGCAAGTCTGACCTGACCGATGCAAAAGTTAAAAGTTCAGTTGTCCAATGCATGTAAATGAGCAAGAGAAGATGCTCATTCCCCCAAATATGTAATTATGCATATTATGATTATGTTATGTATTTAAAATAATACGTGTTGTCGAAATATATATACACGCTTACAAGCATTATTTATAAATACATTTTTGTATTATTTTACTATAAATAATACAGAACAAAATAAATAACTAATAAATAAATTACAATACAGAACACAGAACTTGAAGGTAATTATATTTTTACGATTTCATATAACTATAATTTTCTCGCTTGCGTGAATGATTTCACCGAAACCAATGGTCAGAACGTCAAAAAAATTGACCAACTGGGTGTAAACCTTAAGCGAGTTTAAAATGAATAACTACTATGCCTCTTAACTAAAAATTTTAGAAATTTAACTTTGTTAAGAAATAATCTGGTTTTGAGTTGCGAAAATAAAAAAATAAAAAATAAATTTAAGAAAATGTAATTGTATTATTTTTTAAAGTAGTCATTGTAGTTCTACATTATTTTTCTACTTTGAGGAAAAAATTCAGCTAAAAATACTGATTTGTTCATATAATGCCGCTCACAGTATATATTGCAATATAAAATGGATGACAAAAAAGTTGTTTTATTTAAAATATTTCAATATTTGGAATATAAAATAAAAGTAGCAAATGCGTTATTAAGTATATCGAAATAAGTATGCAAAATTTCACTCTCATAAACCGCTTCTGAAAATGTTGAGCTTAAAAATGTGTTGCATTGGAGGGGGTATTTTCACATTTTAAAGGTACCTGATTTCTTAAGGTATTATCATTCTTAAAACGTGAAAGTCCCAATCACAACTTGAACGCCAAACAGTAATCGATTATCACTCAGACTGGGATCACGTGATCTTTCAGAAGTAGAACTTTCGTCTGATTGGTTGATTTCTACCCGGGACAGAGCTGCAGCCGAAACATTTTCGGCAAGGTTTAAAAAATCCCACGTGTAGCCGGTACACCGTTTCCGTAGCTAGGCGAGACTTCGCTTCCAGCGGAGCTGTTTTTTTTTTTTTTTTTTTTCTAGGAATCCTCCCGTTTAAACCAGTGCTACCAGAATCTCGTTTCTCAGAAATGTCCCGTCTAGCAGGAACCGTCTAGATGTGATAGCCCCTTAACACATACATGATATTATAAACCAAGGCGGAGAAGGAATGCGGTCAGCCTTTTATTTACTTGTTAAGTATTTAATTTTAGCTTATGAATATAATACAGGTATATAGTCGCTGTTCCAGGTTATCGAAAGGTAACCAAGAATACGTAATTTTGTGTGGAGCTGCCATTAAACTATACAAGCTGTTATTACCCATCCACCAATGAATGTTTCTTGTGCGCAAGTGTCCTTGCTTTTCGATTAGTGAGCAAGTGCCACTACAGCCTGCTCAGCGTCTCTTTTTGAGCTTATATAACATTCCCGATCCTTCAAGAACGATTATTAGATGGATTCTGAATATGGTCTGGCCGCACTGAAAACGCGTAAAATGGTTTAGGCATTTATTGCATTTGCAAGGTTTGAAATTATTAATTAAAACTCATCTAAGGAAACAATATGATAACAATTAAAAGCTTTACAAAGCATTTGATTCTTGTCACAGTATGTTCGGCGAAAGAAAGTTCTATTTTCACGTACTGAATATCCCGGCAGTTATAGACTTGTGATCATGTTTTTAGAATATTAGATTGATGAATCTTCATACAACTTTGACCAACATGCATAAAACATCGGCTGACATAATTTGCTATGATTTTTGTAAAGATGCATGAGTGTAATATTTATAGAATGAAGTGAATCTTTAAACGCTTGTTTTAAAAGTGTTTAGGCAACCAAATTTTCCGATTACGTTCTTATTGTCCACTTGCCTTTCATTGCCGCCTTACTACCTCTCGCACGAGCAGCGCTTCCCTAGATCTCCTCAGTATGCAACGGTAAACGATAATGCTCACGATGGGAAACTGCTCAGATTTACCTCATACATGGAGAAAAACACGAAAATATCTATGCAGCCGGCCCATTCTCCAGGATTCGAAACCAGGTCGAACTATGAAATTTGACCATGAATGGGCGTCATAGCTTAGAAAAAAGTGTAAATTATTTTACCTGTGAGGTTATTTCCTATGGGCTAACTCGAAAGTATTAATTCACAAAAACATATTTATTTAATACTGAAGTATTTTATAGATGCAAACCGTGACAAACTGGCTGGTTGATTATGGCGAAAGTGTGGCAACGATGGCAGAGATGTCTCATCAGAAATGCGTTCTTCGAGAATTCCTTAGCAGAAACTTTGTTGTATACTTATTACCCATAAAGGAAATCTCAAATAAAATGAAATGGAAAAGGAAATATATTCCGAAAGAGACAAGCAATGCAATTTTCTTAATTAATCTCTACAGAGAGCAGACACGAATAAAACTTTTTTCACACATTCAGAATATCGGCCTGTTTCTAAATATATATTCTAACGCTTTTTCTGGTAATCGGAGTCTATTTGCTTTACTTCTTAAATTCTAAGGAAGGCATTTCGTCAATGCTTATATTGTTAATGCTTTTGGGAAAGGAAAGCAAACCAGGCGAAGAAACAAGATACGTTGGAATTAGCAAACGCATCAATCATCCCATGAAGCAGCATGACATGCAACACTATACGCACATGAGTAAAAAATTTGTTGAATATATATTACAGACAGATCAACAACAAAAATACAAAAGGTTACGCAAACTACCACTACTCGAAACAAACGAACTTGTGCAGACTTTACTAGCAGTAATAAAAAAATTCCTACATTTTAATAGCTATCAGAAAAAAAAAAAAAAAAAAAAAAAAAAAAAAAAAAAAAAAAAAAAACAAAAAAAAAAAAAAAAAAAAAAAAAAAAAAAAAAAAAAAAAAAAAAAACAGCTATGTAAATTATTTTTGTTTCCTCTTTGATGCATGATTAATGATAGACTATTGCTGGTACTTGGTTTATTACTTAAATTTTATAGATACCCGAAAACCAGAATTAATTTTGTTAAGTAAAAGTACGCATAAGAGTCTTCGGGGTTAATTTACAGTGTTATTTGGTTAACACAGGAATTATTTTCTAAATTATGCATAGCTTAAAAATTTATATTTCAGAGATAATTCCACAACAGTTTTCAAAGTAGATTTTTATCGTCGTCGGTTCTTAGAATCAGCCTTCTTTTAAACTGTTCAGCAAATAAACATCAGGCTAAATTAATTTTCTTCCGCAGTTTCAGCTCCTAACGAGCAGCATTGCACGGTCTTAGTATCTCAGCCTGCAACTGCTGATGCAGTAAAACTCAAAAAATTTTCATACCCCTAGCACTTTAATGTTACGAATTGTAGCAGAAAATATTGA